TTAAATTTCTCGTCGCCGCACTCACCTCGTAAAGTTTCATACCAGTTTGAAGAACTATTCAGTTCGGCAACGTTATACAACGTCGAAATATAAAACGCATCGTCGTCGTCGCTTCGATCACTACGCACGGCAATATCATACATTTTATTTACTTTACCACTCTTTTTAACTTTACACACTCTTGCAAAGTGACCGTAGTTTTCACACACAAAACACTGAACTGTAATAGCCGGACAGGAAGTAGGCCCTCCGCACTGACTCCCACACCTCTCGCAGGGATTCAATGAGTCACGAGGACGCCTCACAGCTCCGCTGTAACCTCGACGCTTAGCGAAGCCAGCACGCCGACCTCCGCGGGCTCTGCCGCCGCCGGCGCCGCTGCCGCCACACACACCGACAGTATCCACTTGTCGCGCAGACCCCAGGCCAGCATCTCTCATCTCTAATACACGGTTGCTGTCGCTTGATATTTCGTCCACTTGGCAAATCTTTATAGTTTTCTCTAAAGTTAAATCTTCACTTCTCAATAACCTATCTCGAACGACAGCGTTCGTTATGCCACACACGATACGGTCGCGAATTAATTCATCTTCCAATGTTTTAAAATCACAGGTTTTTGCTAGTAATTTTAAACAAGTAACATATTGATTAATCGACTCGCCGATTTCTTGATTTCGAGTAAAAAAATTATATCTTGCCAGTGTGATGTTTGGCTTGACGCCGAAATAACAATCAAATTTTTTTAAAAGCACTGTGACGTCATCCTTTTCACATTCTTGGTCAAAAGTGAATGTCTCATAAACATCGAAACCGTCCGATCCTATCAAATTAATCAATAAACTTGCTTGAACGTCTCCTTTTTCCTTATGCACCCCCGATGCCTTGAGGAATAAATTAAATTGCGTTTTCCAACGTTTCCATGCGTCAGCCCGGCTGACGGAGCTGCCGTCCAAACTCAATTCCGGTGGTGGTCGTGCGTGTTCCATATTAATAATCACCGCACTACTTGAGAAATAAAATTAGGTATTGTTAAACTAGTAAATTTCTATTAAACCACCGCTGCCACCATGTCATGTAATGAAACTTTGGAGTTTGTCAAACAACTGTTTATTCAAATACACACCTACCGCACATAACATATATTCTAACTACCCACACTCAGCAAGGGCTGCTTTTTTAATTTCAACTATACAACTCCTTACAAAAATACAGTATGTATTTGAAGGAACGTAACGACCTAACGCACACGACACCACCGCAGAGATTTTTAAGAGAGCATGACTTCTCTAGGTACTTAGTAAATAATATATTTCAATAAAATTGATTTCTATTGGAGTAACAATGTCACATCACTAAAAGGATGTGACCATAGAGGAGTAAGATTGATCAAGATGGCTTTTCCTCGTGTGCGTTGTGTGTTAAGTTAAACGATGTGAGTCTAAATGTTTTAATAAAGAAATATATGTTGAAGATTGGTTTCCGTGATTCACTATCCTCCATCCATAACCGTCAACAATTTCGATAGTAGATTGTGTAGGAAGTAAATCTATTATTAACAATATTATTGTAAGAACCAAAAAGCACATACCCACCTTACAAATTCAATCATTTAGGGCCCACCAGATACATTATACTTTCCTCTTTTAAGCATAAGATATTCCTGTTTTGTGAAAATGAGAAAAACTATGTACGTCACTGTTGCTAAAATGAAATCCATCTTGTAGATATTTCACCAGAGGTTTCTTAGAGACTGTCCGCATCGCGGATTTTTCATTTTATTATTACTTGTAGAAAATTTATTCACTTGACATTGGCAGAATTATGCGTAATGCGCATATAAACCATTAATAAAAGAAGAAGAAGTCCGCATTGCGATGTTTAAGGTTATTCCAATGCTCATCGTGAGTCATGGGGTTCCTATCCCTCCGATACCTTAGGCAGTCTAATTAGAAGGAGAAGCTCCCCATCACGAAACAACAGAGCAGTTGTCCTATCCATTAGCTCTCAACGTTTATCTTCTTTTTTTATGGCATGTCTTAAGTAGTAAATTTGTCTATGACTGTAAAACTTATCTGTCTCAACAATATCTTCTCGCACTTACTTCTGCAGACATGTTTAGGAAACGAATTATTCGTTTTCTTGGTTCTATGAAGTCAAAATCTATCTCATTTGCTGATAAACTCGCTCCCTCATTTGTTGCGAACTGTGACTATTTCGCTATAAAAACATATAACATCATCCCATCTGTTGGTAATTTAGATAATCGGGAGCCTCCCTCAAGGTTAAAGGGCTTGGCACTTGGAGGTTTTAGAGATACTGCCCCCAGTATAGATGGTATTCCGTATTCGTTTCTTGTTAAGTCAAAGGTATTAACCAAACTATAATATTTAAAATTAGTTAATACTTTTTACCATCTAGGTATCGTCCCCAAATCCTGGAATAAGCAACTAGTTATCCCTCTGCATAAACCTGGCTTAGACACTTTGGACTATAATTCTTATAGGCCCATTGCGTTATCATCCACCCATTTCAAAGTGTCGGAACATATGACCCAGGAATCGTTTGGAATGGTTTTTTGAGAGTCAAGGTCTTTTGGCTAAATCTCAGTTTAGTTTCCGAAAGGGTTTCAGCACTCTAGATAATGTGAGCATACTTACGACTGATATTCGTATAACTTTTAAGAAAAAGCAATATGTAGTTGCTTCGTTTTTAGATATAGCAGGCGCCTATGATAATGTTGTTCTTCCAATTTTTAAACGTAAATTAATACAGCTGGGTGTTCCCGAGCAGTTGGTTCGATTCATAGTTAATTCCATTTCAGCTAGGTCTATTGAAATCAAATGCCATGAAGCGCCTTCTTTAATCAGGTCTGTTTGGTATGTTCTACCTTAAAAGTCGGTTTTGTCCCCTACTATATAGTATTTATACTTATGACTTAGGGAATTTTGTAGATTCATTCTGTTAATAGTCTTGCAGTATTCCTCTGCAGTATGCAGATGACCTAGCCCTCTATATATGACCGAATTCTATCGAGGAGGCTTCCTCTCGTCTCAATGATGAGTTAAGTCATCTTGACGATTGGCTAATAGATCACAGCTTGTCACTATCAGTTCCAAAATGCTGCCGTGTAGTGTTTACCAGAAAGTGTAACGTTCCTACAGCTCAAATAGTTTTTCAAGATGTCCCTATTCCCATGGATAATCAAGTAAAATTTTAGGCATTGTTTTAGATTCTAAATTATCAGGAACTCTTCATTTCCATAGTGTTGTAAATAAATGCGAGAAAGGTGTCAAGGTTCTCTTGCGGGTGCTCATCCATTCACTCAAAAAATAATATATAATGCCCTTTCATGGTTCCGTTCTTTTAAATCCATGTAATAAGCTAAATAACTAAAGTTCAATCAAAATATTGCAGATTAATATAGATGCCATGAGGTCGTTTCCTATTAATATAGTCTCCAGATCGAATGCGTTGAATCACCCCTCTATCTGCGTAGGCAATTTTTGAGTTATCGATTTTTCCTTAAAGTTATACAACCTGCCTCCCGTTCTCTACTAAGGAAAATATAAATATTGTTGAAAGATTCTAGTCCTTCCTCCAGTTCATCGGTAGGTGTCCCTTGTATTCTCCATAGCTACAAAAAATTCCATACTCCTTCCCTTCCCATTGAACGGTTTTCCCGTCTTCCTCTTTTTGAAAATAGCTTTGAATCGCTTATTCTTGAGGCAGTCGTTTTTCTTGATTTTGGAATCAACAAAGACTATCCATATGTCATGCGTACAATGGCACGGAATATGAAGGCTGGATTTCCATGTACACTGATGCATCCAAACAGCATGTAAATGTTCCAGTTGGATCAGCAGTATTGATTCCCGCTAACATGGATACCGAAACACTGTGGTATTCCGGGGAACGAGACAGCTGATGAATCTGCTAAACAAGCTGTTATAACTGGCTCTTTTAAAATATTTTAAACTTTTTCATAACATTTAATGATGGAACATTGTTTGGGCAAGTACTATGGATAGAGTGGGAAAGTACGAGTATTATTTTGACATTCAGAGAAGTAACCCAACTGGTTCTTTAAAACTATTTCAATTATTTGTCGCATGAGAATGAGGAAGTATTTAAAAATAAATCATTAGTGACCGAAATCTAATTAGATGTCGCCACGGTACGTTCTTGATTTCTCCATGACAACCTTTCCGGTTTTCTTTCATGTTTAAAAGTAAATTAGTTTTCAAAACTCAATAAACAACTCATATGCTATTTGTACTTTTTCGTATTTGTATTGATATGTAAGTTTCAAACTATAACATGTTAGTTAATACGAACAGAAATGACTGTCTTTGGTCCATTCGTTTCCTACAAAAATCAATTTACAAAAATTGCAGGAAACGAATGGACCAAAGGCAGTCAGTCATTTCCGTTCATTTTAACTAACATATTAAAAAACTGAAATTTTAAAAGTTCGAAACTTAGATATCAATACAAATAGCATATGAGTTATTTATTAAGTTTTAAAAACTAATTTACTTATAAAAATGAAAAAAAAACAGCAAGGTTTGTCATGGAAAAATCAAGAACGTACCGTAGCGACATCTAGTTTGATTTCGGGAACTAATTTTTTTTTTAATTCTTCTTCATTGTGAATTTGAGTAAGGAACTACGGATCATATTTTATTCAATTGTCCTAATTTATTCATTTCCATTTATGATTTGCTCCCATTAAAGTTCCTCGTCCAACAATTATATACTGTATTTTGAGTATGGAGAAACATAGCCAATTCAAATAGCAATCAATAGTAGTCTTAATTTATAAATATCTTTTACTCTATATACATTCTATTTGTATTATCTTTAACAATATAGACACGATCAAAGCTTTTTTTTATTGTTTTATCTATTACCCCAAAATTCAAAATTCACATAATTTATTATTGTCTCTTTACGTGTAAAGACCACAGACGAGACATTGGCAGAATCGTGTAAAAGCAAATAGGTCATGAATTAAAAAGAAGAAGCAAATGTGATTATTTCATGATAAAATATAATTTCTATTAACAAAATGAACAGTACATTTAAATTATTTTCATGCATGCTGTACAATCCAGTTAACAGATTACACACTTGCGCTCCGATTCTAGCCTGGTCTAAACCTGTTCTGCCAATGAAATTCATAAACTACAATAAAAAAGTATATCCACCTCAAATAAATGGCGAGGAACCACGTCCAGCAGTGAGTATAAATATTTTTATAAGCCTTTACACACGCTGTTTCTGAAGATTTTCACTTCGTTATTATAAAAGTTAAGCGTGGGACGAACACACATTTTACTATAGTTACCACAGCATGCCATATTTTAACTATAGAGTTGCAATACTTGTCTATTTTCAACAGTAAACTATAAAAGTCGTCGGTATTGAAAATATGATTTACATCAGCTATTTTGATTTTTAAAAGTTATGCACCATTTATAGTTAATATTTTTTTGTTTGCAGTATATTTGTCATCAAAAAACTAATATTAAATACAGTCCAAAAAAATTATGGTACATAGCATCATTTGTAAGAGGAATGACTGTAGATGAAGCAGTGAAACAGTTAAGTTTTGTTAACAAAAAAGGAGCAGCATATGTTAAAGAAGCTATCCTTGAAGCTCAAGAACTGGCTGTTCAGCAGCACAATGTGGAATTTAGAAGTAATTTGTGGATAGGTTTGTATTTGCAATTTGACACTTTTCCCTATTTCTTGTTGTAATTATACTTTTTTAACAGGGAATAAAAAAATCAGTCATTTTGAAATTTAAGGCTTTATGTAGCACACAGCGGATTTCGAGATTATAAAATCCAATGACCGGTTATCTAAATAAATCAATTGAAAGTTGCTTAATCATCATTCCAAATGCACCAAGCACTGGGCCATTAAGCACCTTTTAAAATAGGTTCATGGTAACAGAGCTTATGTGAAATTTTGTGGATGTATTGTAAATATATTGGATGTACAAATAATAAATAATGTAGACTTTGGTGAAGGTAATAATGATTATTATCTCAATATGAAGAAACAAATGTTATGGATGGGTATATACCACAACACATCATGGGAAGAGAATTGCTTGTGGTAACACATACACAGTTCATTATCTTTACCTTATAAGACACAGATGGTAGAAGCAAACTGTCTTTTTATTTATATCTTTAGTGCCCGTAAAATTCACATATATATATATATATATAAATTTAATATATATACGATTTTTTTAGCTGAATCATTTGGTGGGAAAGGTATGCTTATAAAAGGCATAAGGAGACATGCTCGGGCAAGATTTGGTGAAGTGCGTTATCAATATAGTCACTATTTTGTACGCTTAGAAGAAGGAAAACCTCCAGAAGACTATTACAAACGAAAACCTTTGACACCACCCCAACAACTTGATATATGGTTAGATCAAATGAGGAAACGAAAAATTATTAATTCATATTGAGGTTCATAATAAAAAGTAGCATTAAATAGAAAATGCTTTTGTAATTATTTTTAATTTAATGATTGTTATAATCTTAATAACATAGATTTTAACATTTTAAGGATTAAATAAATATCACATACGAATATCACATATAAATATCACATAATAAATCTGCTCGATGAATATAGAATGTGGATACCTATCATATCCACATTCTATATTCATCAAGCAGATTTATTCTCACAATAGGGAATATAATGCAAAGCTATGCTCCCAAAAAACCACCCACAAAAAAATCCACAGTTTACCCTCGTGTGGGAGGATGAGATTGGCAAGCCGTTGCAGAGTCACCGGCACAAACCATAATTAGTACCTATTTATTATTAAGTAACTTTACGTAAGGGGCTACGTCCGCGTGGTCCCATATTATACCAATAAATCTTCCTCTTGAATCCATCTTCAAAATTGCATTAAAATAGGTACCTATATAGTGTAGTTTAAAAACAAAGAACACGGACCAGTATAAAATTTGTTTGGGGGCCCTTGTGTAGGGTAAAGATCATTCACATAAGAAAAAAATGTTTGTTTAAACTATTGCGAAATTTAATCGTATATATATAAGACTTAAACGGAGATATCCCGCAGCCCGCGGAAACCGTTGTAAGGTGTTGCCAAAATTGAAACGTAAAGTTTACACAGGAAAAAGAAATTTCTTTTTTTACTTTTGTCATTTCTAAATTAAAAAGGAATTTGGGAAGTTTTTATTAATTTTTGCTTACGTTGGGTGCCCCAGTGGCCCGGGGGGCCCGTATAATTGATACAGCCAGTGGCGTAGCTAGGTAATCTAGGGCCCTGGGGCAAATAAAAAAATTGGGCCCCACTTCTATCAAAACTGGTAAGGATTTTTGAAGTAAAATCATTAAATATACAAATACTTTAAAAATGCTAAACAACTTTATCATCATCTCTTTTTCGTGCATAGGCAGGTAATAAAACTATTAAACACTAACAACATAAATTACAATTATTATAAAACGAAATAGAAAAGATTCAAGGGTTTATTATATATTTATTTAATCATAGATACGTTGCACCAGCTTACTGTTATTTAACCTATCGCCATGCAAGCTATTTACAAAAATTATCAATAGAAATATTTGATCCAGAAGTACTTTCAGAAGGTAATTTTTGTTTACTTTCTCCTCTTTCTTGGCGTTGTTTGCGTTTAAATGCACCACTGGGTTTCTTTTTTTTTTTTGTCCATAATATTAGTTTTCTAATTTATTTATGCAATATTTATGTAAGATTGTACTCAAGTAGGTACTCACTGTTCACTGACAACGTTACAAATAAAAGGAAAGCGAAACGTGAATGAATGAAAATAATACGATACAAGGCGTCGTTGGGGAATCCCCGGCAAACACTTTATCGCCGCCAGTGTTACCACTTTTGACGGTTTGACGGACTACAACCAAATAAAATTGACTTTTGTATGGACCAGTACAAAAAATTGATTGACATACGCTTACTTACTCCTGATACAATAACTTTTTAACCATTCTCCAAAAAAAATCTTGACTCGAAGTTCACAATCGCGAATCACAAAAACGCATATCGATAAATAATAATATGCAGATATTGATATCCAACAAATTGATGAAAACATTAATAACACTGTCAACCCACACAAATAATTTACGGGAATTCCCTTTTTACCCGACTGCGCGACGCAAAGGAGGGTACCTAATTATAATTTTGGAATTACTCACAACTGAGTTTCCACGATTAAACTACCTGTCATTTAAATTTAAAGTTATCACCTGTCATTTTTATTTTGAAGATGGGAGAAATTTTCAAAAGGTGAGTTCGATTGAGATTTTCTGGTAAAGATTCGAAGAAAATCGCTTTCATGACTTAAGTTTTATTTTATGAACATTTAATATGTCATACCTAATATTAAAAACTTATCTCTACTGGTAGCGAAAAGTGGAAATAAAAATCCAAGTACATATCCCAACCAGTGCAAATCGGTGGAGTAACAGATTCCATATCCTACCGGTAGCTATAATTGGAAAAAAATCCTAATATCCCTACCAGTGGGGATTTGTCAGTAGGGAAATGTGGAATAGGGGCGAATTTCTGCAATGTTGACCGCTACCCTCAATGTATTAAATTTTAAAATCAAGTGGGTAAATTTGACAGATTTATATAGTCTGACGTGCTGTTGACTGGGCAAAAAATTAACAGCAATGTCGTCAAAAAAAAAATTAAATATGTTACAGAGTTAGTAAGCATAAAAAAAACAACATTATTAAATTTCGTTATTTATTTAACTGATCATTATATATTCTGTTGAAGTGGAAAAAAATCACAGTACTTTTACAATTATAGGAGGTTTATTTTGCGTGCAAATCTAGCAGTTTTAAGCACTAGCAGTTTTCACAAAATGTGTATGTTATATTTAAACGCTCTCTTAGTATGAATATCAAATTAAAAGCTGAGAGGATTACACTGGATGAGTTTATTTAATTTTAATTAAATCAAATATGGTGGTCTACTCAAGGTAGCGGGCGGACTTGCTATGTTTAAAGCTGAAAATATTACTATAAATTACTAAAAAATATGTTTTAAACACATTCTTTTGTTCAGCACAATACAAAAATAAAAAGTGACTGAATAAAGTTTAACCCATTACCTATATCAAAATATATATGTTACAGCCAATTGGTTAAAACAGCTCTTCAATTGGGCGGCTAGCCATTCAATTGCACGTCTAGTTTTCTAGTAGAATTATGACATTTGGATCAACAAGACGGCTGATTTAAAAGCGGCGTTTAGTCGTTAGGAGTCTGTCATAACCTCACAGCAAGCTGTGTGATATCCAATGAAGGATTCACCGCCTCCTTCCCCCGCTGCACCGTGGAAAATGGTAGAACAAGAGCATATCAATAATACTTTTTACGAATATCATAATTTGTTTAATTTCGTGATTTTATTAGGATCTCAAATAATCGAATTATAATATTCATTAAGTTTTTTATCGAAAATGCACGAAGTTACATTTTTTTCATAGGTAGAAGTACATAGAAGACGGGAGTGCCGAACTCGAGTCTTCGCATATATATGTTTCAAAACCATATTGTGCAAGATATATTGGGTACATATATGCAGTATTATACATTTTTGGAAAGGTTATTTCATGCTTATTACGTTACAGCTTTTTAATTTCTAAAGCAGCGACAATTATGTCAGTAAGTAATTAAAAAGTGGCATACCTTATTTTTTACTTTTCTTTTTTTTCGTCTAAGAATTAAGAAACGCTGACACTCAAAAGAAATTTGACCTCCGTAATATGTGGAATAATTTAGACCAGAAGAAGACTCTTTCCGATGAGGAAGCATTGAGTGCTTTTATAGATTTGGATCTAACAAAAGCACAATACATGTACCTGAGAAACTCAACCAACGAACGAAAATGTTGCATATTCCGGCCTTACTACAAAATACAAGAAATAAAAAAATCTTGTTATCCACCATTATCAACTCTAGAAATTACAAATACTTATGCTAAAGTAATTAATATTGAAGATTTATTGAATCACACTGTTGCTAGAATTTTAAAAATCGAGTCTGTTTTCCAGGAACAATATAGAACATTAACCCTTTACTGTAAATGGGGATGTGATGGTTCATCTGGTCAAAGCCAATACAAGCAAACACTTCCAGAAGAATCGGAAACCGTTTCAGGTGCTAATTTATTCATTTCTTCATTGGTCCCCATCAGATTACTTGATAAACAGTCGGGATTTGTTGTTTGGCAAAATCCGGTACCTTCATCTGTTCGTTTTTGTAGACCCATTTCTATTGAGTTTATTAAAGAAACTTCAGTAAAAACCAAGGCAGTTGTGGATGATATTAGTAGACAAATTGGGGCTTTACAAGCATCACTGATAAACAAAAATGGTGTTTTCGTAAATGTGAAGCATGAACTATATCTTACAATGATCGATGGAAAGGTGGCTCAGGTTCTTACAGATACTCCATCTGGTTCCACATGCACGATACGTGGGGCTACTCCACGGCTAATGAATGACCTATCGAAAGTAATTGTCAGACCTGAAAACGAAAGCGCCTACCAATACGGATTGTCCACCTTACACGCCTGGATTCGCTGCATGGAAATGATATTGCATATTTCCTATAATCTTTTCTTTAGGACTTGGTCTGCTTCAACTGAAGAAAAAAGAGATTAAAAAAAGAAAAGAAGGAACTCGTTCAAAAACGATTCAGGGAAGAGTTGGGATTAATCGTCGACAAACCTCGGCAAGTTAGCGGGAACACAAACGATGGCAATACCGCACGAAGATTTTTTTTTAATTACACTTGCTCAGAGGAAATAACGGGTGTAGACGAAACATTTATTAAAAGCCTGTATATAATCTTACAAGTTCTATCTTCTGGAAAGATGATTGATTCCAAAAAATTTGGAGTATATGCAATAGAAACTGCAAGAATATATGTGAGTAATTATGATTGGTATTATATGCCGTCCTCCGTTCATAAAATACTCATACACGGAGAAAACGTTATCAAACATTTTGCAGTGCTTCCTATTGGACAGCTGTCGGAAGACGCACAAGAGTCTCGCAACAAAGTCTACAGAAACATGCGACTTCATCATGCCAGAAAATGTTCCCGGTCTGCAACAAATGAAGATGTCTTAAAAATGCTTTTGTGCACGTCAGATCCATATATAACAAGTTTAAGAAAACCATACTTAAGAAATGTAAAAAATCTTGAAGTAGAGGCAGTAAGTCTTTTAAAAGTGGTACCTGAAAGCGAACGCACATTTACTGACCCTGATCCTGAAGCAATATAGGTATCTACCAAGATAAAAATAATATTGATATTTAGTTATTAGTAATGTTTGTAACGAGCTATATCAATCTCTGAAGCTACATGCCTAGTATAGTTTGTTTGTTCAGCACAAAAAAAAAATCTTTTGTATTTTTTATTAATTGGGTAATTGTATTTAACCATAGTTTTAGCCTTTTTAGTCAT